ATAACGTCCTTCCGGCAGGCCTAATGTAGAACGGACACCGAGGCGGTATGATTGCAGAGTGACGTGAACGTGACGAAATACTCATCTCGACGTTATTAAGAAAGCAGCATAATTTAGTCCTTTCTTTTACTTAATCAAGATGTGTCTAAACCGGAAAAGTCGGATACACTTTGAAAGGTCAATATCGTAGCCTAGACATTGCCTTTTGCATTGACATTTAAACCTTGACATGGACCTAACTGCTGTTGTCCAGCAGTTTCATTTTCGGTGTTTTATTATTAAGGATTGAGTTCCGTCTTCACGTTTCAGAATAGTGCCGAAATGTTAATACTGCTCTGGGCTTTGGCATCCCATTCTAATCGTAACACATAAAAAAAAAATAACAATAATAACCACCATCAATAATATTGCTTCTGATGACACATCTAACCTTATAACATTTATCGATCACCAATAAAGATGTACTATTATATTGTATGCAAAAGGATAGTTACTTAGCCAGGTAGTTACTATCGCAACGTTGCTTTAAAACAGGCAACAATTAAAAAGATAACACACGTTGCCCCGACTGCGTTTCTGCCAGTAGCGAGTTCCGCCCATTCGTTGTCGTCACGATATCAGTTTTACGTCGTAAAATATACTACCGCCTGAACGATTAGATAAGAACAAATTCAATAAATTTTTAAAAAGGAAGGCCGAAATTACGGAAGTTGACACTTTTACTTTATTTCAAAGCTCCGCTCTACAAATAGCTTTCGCGTTGAAGAGCTGCAGCAGTCTACGATAACATGTCGCCGGCTATGGCGACTACTCCAGATCTTCGTTCATGTTGTGATTTGTATTTTTTTTGTTTGTTGTAAATTCTTGTTCTTGTTAAGCTGAAAGTGAATACCATTTTTGGAGAAAAGGCTTGGTTCTGCGTAAGTGCTTTGTGAGCCAGCTACACCGCTATATGGAACAGCAATCAAACTTCAATATTTCCCAAAAATAATTTTTCCCACTTTTTCCTCGTGTCTTTATAATAAGACGTGACCAAGCATCAGCGTCAAAAAAAGATTAGTAATTATTATTATTTTCGAAAACGTGGCGAATTTAGGCTTTTCAGTCAAAATAGCTCGGATTAAAGAAGAAATTCAAAGTGGGCACTACGCTGTCGCATTATTTTCGACATTCCATTTTTTTTTTTAAATATTTATATAGACACATACTCGACAGGCCAGCTCAATATTAATATGTTTTCATTGCAAAAAGCGACAAATTACTATAAATCGTATCGTTTGATTATGGAGCCCTAGCTCCGATACGAAGCGTAAAAGTGTTAGCGTTAGAAATGTATACACACGCAATAATACCCCAAATCTCGCAATACACGCAGTGCGTGACCTACATTAAGGTTAAAAAAAAAAACGTGGACCAAAAATTGTGCCTAAAGAAGGCCGATAGTTCAGGTAACGTATTCCCGGGACAATCGTGATGTTCTACGGCAATTTTTTGTTCAATATTATGGTTAATGAAACTGAATGGAGCGCCACATAGTGGCCATAGAACACACATGTCGAATGTAAGCCAGCACATTTGGGTCTAGTGTCAGCAGACGCCCAGAGTTAGATTAAGCATGAAGACCCTCAAAGAAATACTGTTGCAACCTTCTATTGTGGAAGCTTTTAAGCGTAAATATCTCATAAATGACACACTACGTAGAGCTACTCATGAATAATTTGCGCCATCTACAAAATAAAATGTCAATTAAGTTTGCCAATCGTTCTTTGAAGTAAAAGGTGCCGTAGCAAATAGAATTTTACTTTTTTTTCATTTATTCAAGTTAATAAATGAAACGCATCAAAACAGTTGCCTTGGCTATTTAGGGGTTAGAATTATTACTTTTTAAAAAGAAACATCATATAGTAAATCCCTGTATAAATTAAGCCGTGTAAATTGTCCATTGTTTATAAACGCGCTGCCATCATAGGTCGCTCAATTTCTAAAGAGGAGGTATCAACTTAATTACCGAACGTAACCTGGAGGAAAACTACAGCATGTTTTTATTAAGTTCAAAGGTTTAGTTAAGCTGTCCTCACAGGGGCTTTGAAGTAATTAATATATGTTTTTCATAACCATTATGCATAAATTTTTCAAAAACAGCAAATTTATTTATTAATCTCGAATTTCATTTATTAATCAGGATCTGTAAAAGTAGGGTTTCATGACATTCTTTAACAATTAAATTGTCCGTTATTGCTCTGTATTCCATATATATATATATATATATATAAATATGTGGAACTTACATTTCACATATCATGTTCTGAAACTTACTTTCGATGAAAACGCCAACAATGGTCCTTTTGATTAGCAAATAACAATAACCATCATGCAAATTTTTTTTATCACATCTACCGTATGAAACTGTGTGTTTTAGCGGCAATGCCACCGACGAAGTCTCGCCTAAGCCTTTCTAAGCGTTGAACACCTACCAGTGGCCAACTGCTCTGAATATCGATCAACTAAAAGATTCTGGAAAAGCGGCAACCCCTTTTTCAAAAATGGTTTGGCCTTTTCTTTTTTTTTTTTTTGTCAGTTTTCGCTCTCTATTGTTAGAAGCGACATTCGTACATTCACCTGCTCTACGTCCACTCACCATTGCCTCTACTTCTGACTATTTATGTCTACTAGACTTCAGCGATTTCAACGTGAAGCGAGTGCCCCATTTTTCAATTTTTACTTGGTCCCCACAAATGAAAGCACTGGAAAACCAGAGTTCGACAACCGTACCCATTACCGATTCGAAGGTTTGCTAGTATTAACTGAATCGTTTTGGTTATCCTGGCCTCAGAAGATAAAGGAATGTATAAACAATTTTCTAACTGAACACCTTAAAGAACTTTGTCACTGAATTAAATCACTAATGTTTACATTTTATTAAATGCCGCTTATTAAACGGCACTATCTTGCGTTACATTTGCAATACAATTACAGGATGCAAAAGCTACCGCATGCTTAAAGTTCACAAAGTATTCATATTGTACACGTATTGCTATATAAACATAAACACACAGTTTGTTTTTATGAGAAGACCTTCTCCATATATTCAGCTATAGGAAGTTTATACAACGACTTTTGTGTACCCGCAGTAAATTACTAGGAAGCATTTGTTTAGAGACAATATTCTCGCGGGTTTTTATTGCGCATCAGTCGTCAATTTCCTTACGTTCAATGTCCACCTTGTCATTGGACGCCCCTGTAAGTGTTATTTTTTTAACGTAGAGCCTTTATCAAGTAGCAGCTTAATTACTGCATTTCTTCAAGCTCTCATATTTTGTCAACACACAAGGAAGAAATGCATTCTAACTTGAGTTCACCCCCTGGATATACTTAGCTACTATTTTTGTTCACAGCGACAAGATCAGGCCTCTATTAATCGATCTGAATATTGATTTTTACCTATCGAATAGAAGAATCTTATATGTTCTTTACGATATATTGCATTATATTCATATATGTTCTTTCATTTTATGTTGTCCTAAATTCCCTTTTATCTAGTTTATTACGAATAACTGCAATGTTAACTCTATATGCTCAACTAAATCCCCTCAATGCTTACCTTGCCCTTTTCGTTACGATACGATACGATACGATACGATACGCTATTGTTGAACGACAGTTAATACAACACTAATCTCCCATGAAAATTTCGTCTCCTACAACTCATTTCCCCTAAGGCGGTAATTTGTCTTTAATTTGTGTACAGTTTGTTCTGGGTCTATAGGCAAGAGGTCCCAGTTCTTGTCTTATGTTCTTGAGAAAACGTCACGTAGGCGGATTATTTAGAACATAACCTATTCCAATCAAACGCCGGATTCGAAATTCCGTATCTGCACTTGTTCCTGAATAAAACTTTAAGCACGCTATGTATTTTCGCATGATAAATACCCTTTTGTCAAAGGAGCTGTGCACTTAATTTTAGGCCTTTATGACAATCTTTTTAAATTACGTTAGGTGAAGCTGCACGTTATCTCACTTCTTAACATTTAGCTTTATTTTATATATATATATATACACATATGTGACTTTGTGTCTCAAAAGCGGCTATATTTTGGGATCGACTTCTGGGTTCCGGCTTTCAACCAGAATGATCACCCGTGTAAGAAAGCGGTGCATGAGGGCGAACGTTAGGGAGCAAAGGTTACGTGTATTTGACAGAATACAAAAAATACATTCGTGCATACTGATGAACTAAGGACCAGATTATAAAAATGTACTTGAGGCCAAAATATGTCCCCTTGTTTTGAAAAGGATACGAGATATCAGAATTAAACGAGCTGTAGATGAGTTTTACCCAGTATAATGAATGAAGCAGCTCAAATATTTTTCACACAACAAAGCGTCCTCGTTAACTGTCTCTACTATACCCGGACATGTTTTGGACCCACAACATTCCGTTATAGAATAGGATATCTCACGTTTGCAACAATGCAGTAATGATTTTGGCGTAGTTTCGCGGATCGATTGCACTGTCTCTCGCTGGTTAAGAAGGATAATTTTTTGCACAGAATTATAGCAGGCATACTTTTTTCTGGAATAGGCATCTTTGTGCATTCGGATTAATTTGGAAATGCCATATATCATTGGTTTCATAGATGCTGTTGAATTTTAGTATCTCTATGTGCATACATATACAGTGTATCTTATGCACACACGTAAACATGCACAGAACGTATCATGTTGCTGTGAATACTTACGTATAATAATATACGATATAAGTACGATCAATAAACTACGTAATGAGACAACGATCTACGACATTTCCCACCAATATCCGTAGCAGAGCATCAAATCGAGGTGGAAACCCCGACCTTGAGCATTACCGGATGAGCTAACGACTGGGTAACAGCTTGAAGTGACACAGGTGATAAACTACTAGAGCTTTAGCTAAATCGATTCATGTCGCGGATCTTTTCGCGAAGACAAAAGTGACCCACAATCATCAGCGTCTCTTGCAGATTTACCGTTGGCACTACTACACAGAAGAAAAAGACGACACGAGGCAAGGAGAGTAAGACAGCAGTCTAATGCAATATTGGGTAAAATTGCTTTTCGGCGAGATCTGCAGACTACCGCGGACAACAGCTGTCACTTCGAATCAATCTGTGGGTTTTGGCTCCTTCGCTAACTGACTGGGCCGCCTGCTACCGTTATTATTGCAACGAAGCCGCCTGCCTGTTGAAGAGCGACGGCCTGACCGAAAAGAGCTTGTTGTAGAAGAGATGCTACTGTCGCTATGCTGGTGATTGTCGATGGCAGCGGCGGCGGACTCCGGATGGCGAACTGTTGATAGCGAAGGAGGGGAAAGGAGCGGCACAGAAAAGTGGTCGTCAGTGTAAACCAGTCAACGTCGACTGCCGACGCCGTTGTCAGACCGTGGTCTGCCGAAACTCTCCTGGAAGAACAGTGGAACGTAACGCCGTGCCGCGTCGGGCCATCAAGCAAGGAAGAATTCGTGGGGACGAGAGAGAAGCAAGGGTTGACCGAAGGCTCTCCACCCAGTAAACCAGACCCATACTTCAAGAGCCTTTCTTGCCAGGCCGGTATATAAACGCTGGGGATCGAAGAAGGCCGACCAGGAGCCGGAGGAGTATTCGCCACCGGTGTCTCAGAAAGAACATTGCTACAAGAAAGCGGAAATCAGACGACATGCAGGCTGTGCTGCTTACAGCTTTGCTGGCCGGGGCTACCGCCAATCCTGTACAGAAAACTGTATACACTGGTGAGTACAGCGATATCATTTGAATTTGGGGCACACGCCGTACTTGACCTATGTCCATGTTTTCGAAAAAAAAAAAAAAAGGAGCTAGTCTATAGTTTTTAATAGGCGCATAGTTTGTATACTACATGTTCAAGTAACCAAATAAATAAACTGACTTTTCGCCGAATTATTTAATAGAGAAGGTCATATAT